TGCTAAAAGAGATAAGAGAGACCCCATCAAATCAAAAAATATGGACAATGCTATGGAGTGGTTAGTTGATGATGATGAGGTCGAGGTGCATGAAGGATTGACATGGGACATGGTCATGGATGCTTCAGGGACATCAGTTGACCCTCCTAGGGCCACTAGATCTTCTAAAACAGATGACAAGGGTGGAAGAAGAGGAGGAAGAAGAGGCAGATTCAGAAGATACGGAGGAAGACGACCAATATGTCGAGGAGGGTGATGAATCCAATGAATATGATGCACATGTAGATGACCCTACGTTCTCTGATGATGAATGATGAATGTTGAATAACGATTAAACTTTGAACATTGATTGAACTATTGAAGATTCTTTTGAGTCTTCAAGTATTACTTTTCATTTTTGTTTTCTTTTTCTTGGTTGTGTGTTGTGGATAGTGGATTTGTAGTTCCACTGGTTTGGTATTTGATAACTTTGGTTTGGTAATTTGGTTAGGTAAATTTTAAGTTTTAATTGGATATGGACCGACTTATGGTTATGCTTATAGAGTATGTGCTAATGTGTAGTATACTTTGAATTATGATGTTCCCTAAATACCTAATTTTTATAGTTTATACAATATATAACTGTAGAATCCTTTTTAGATTCAACTGGGCCGCCTAGGTTCTGGGCGCCAACCTAGCCGCTGAGCGGCTTGGACCCCCCAGGCCGCCTAGGACCGGCCTAGTGCTTTTTGAAACACTGGAGTACACATAGAAAGAGTACATTTAGAGTATATAAAGTACACTTAAGGGTCTATACACATAAGAAGCAAATGATAGACATAAGAAAGCCCGGAATCCAAAATTAGACTTTCTATTATAAATAGTACAATTTATACGAAATTAAAAAGGAAATTTGTATTAAAAATATAACATACGAAAATCTTAATAATAAAATATCAATGAAAATATTTTAGGAGAAACTAAACACATAAGGGCACTACGAAATCCAAGAAAATATTTTCTACTATAAACAGAAGTTTTCAAATGAAATTAATAGAATAAATAAATCAACGAAAAAAGCAATTATTTTTATGCACTTTCATATAATATAAAACAAAATTGAGCAGACACTTTTAGAAGAGAAGAAAAGACATTTTGCATTAAAAAGCATAATGTTATTAAAATATTATTAATTACAAATAAAGGAACAGATTTTAGGGAATATATGAAGTGAGATACAATAAATGCATGACATGACACAAAGGGATGACATGACACAAAGGGCATTACGAAATCCACAATAAAAATTTATTACACAATCATAGATTTTAAATGAAAGAGAAGAAAAAAAAACAAATATATGAAAAAATTCCATCATTATAATGCACTTTGGAATAATATTAAACAATAAAAATCATCAATTAAGTAGACAATTTGGAGGAGTGGATCAAGATCCTTTGCAGTTGAGGATCGAGATCCCTTTAAGTTATAGGAACTGAGAACCCAATATGTAGGGATTGGGATCCCCTGATAGTAGGAGGCACGTATTGCTCGAGCTCCGGATAAAGGATAGCCGGATCGAGATCGCCACCTTGCCCAAGATCCCCTCAACTATGCACATGACAATTGCATGAAGTAACCCTGAAAATGTGCATAGAGATAGTCCCCCTTTCACTATAGTAAAATGTGCGTGTGACTTGCTCGTAAGGGGAGGAATTGTAATCTACATTCCGAGATTGTGGTTCTATTATTTATTGGTCACCTTTGACTAGTCACTAACGAGCCCTTGCATGAGATCATGGGCCTCATTGGTTTGGTTTGAGAAGATAGTTGAGGATCACGGTTATTGGGTCAGGTGAAGTGCCCTGACAATCACTTATCTTGACCCTTCTAGAATTTTTAGAATTTTTAAAATTATTTTCAGCAGTAAAAGCCCTTGGATCCAAACCCACATTACCATCACATTCACAAGGGTGGGGAGTGGAGCCCATGGGGCCTAAACCTCACACGTGAGGTGGCACACCCCTCCGCTTTTTCTTGTTTCTATTAAAAAATTAAAAGGTGTTTAAATTGGTTAGAAAATCTTTTGAAAACATTACATCCTTACTTTGTGGGAGTCGATTTTTGAAAATATGTTTTGTATCATTGACCAATCTTTTATTTTTGACTTCCTACAATTTATGGATCAAAGATTCAAGCGATAAGGTTCCTAGATTCCTTTCTAAATTCTGATGGTTAATTCATGGGACGGTTGGCTCAGTTTTCATCTCTCTCACCTCACAGATTTTCTAAAATCTGATTGGTCATGATGAGTCATAAATTGGATAGGTATACCTAAGGCCCTTGAGGCCTATATAAAGAGAAGAATCCTCCTCATTTTTTGGGTAAAATGTGGGGACTACAATTTTCCTAGCCTCTCTCTCTCTCTC